ATAGGTTCAGGTTCATTTGAGACCATGTTAATTTTGTGAGACCGTGAGACCAAATCTAAAATAATTTTAAAATGCAAAATAAAAGGAAAAATCCAAAAATTCTTTTTTTAATTATTATTTTTGGAAATTTAATTACCTAAAAAAATAAAAAGAATAAAAAATAAAATTATCTTTTTTTTGAAAAATACGTGAAATATTCTAATAGAATATTACACTGTAAATATTCTAATGTGATTTTNAAAGAGCAAAATAAAAGGAAAAATCCGAAAATTCTTTTTTTAATTATTATTTTCGTCACTTTAATTACCTCAAAAAATAAAAAATAAATAAATAAATTACTTTTTTTTTAAAATACGTGAAATATTCTAATAGAATATTACACTGTAAATATTCTAATGTGATTTTTAGAATGTTAGAATATTATAGTAGATTTGTCAGATATGTAGAATATTCTAATATTCTACTAGAATATGTAAAAAAATATTTTTTTTTGGTATTTTTTTATTTTTTTTTTGGAAAATATAAATTCCGAAAATAATATTTGAAAAAAAAAATTCCAAACGTTTCAAATATTTTGTATTTTAAAAATATTTTTTTTATCTACCAAATGAATGGCTAGGATTGCGTCTCACAGTCTCACAAAATTAGGTCGTCTCACATGAACCTAACCCTATATATATATATAAACTTATAATATTATAAAGTATAAGGGTTATTTTGTTTTAGGGTGTTATTTTGTTTTGGAAGTATAAATTCAAGTTGAAAAAAACAATCACAAAGAATATCGTTGTGTGCTATTGAGATTTGAGATTGATGAAACTGAAGCCGGATACATCTTCCTTTTTGGAGAAAACTAAGATATCAATATTATTTGACCGACTCGTGAATTAGGTTATAAGTGAGATACGAGTTATATATGAGAACATTTTATTAATGATTGTCTCATATATAATGTCACGTGAGCAAAACATATATAAAATCAGTCATAAGAATTGAATGTTTACATAAACGACTTAATTTTACAATAAAAAACATTAAATACAAAATACGTACAAACTAAGAATTTAACATATATTAGCCGATCATAACATAAAATAACAAGGTATAAGAAGTGAATACATCCAAAACAAATTAAATAACTTATTTTACAAGAGAATAAAAAACAATAGACTGAATATACATAAAATAAAAACTATATTACCTTTAGTCGTTATCAAACAAATCACTAGTAGATTTTTGTTTCTTTTCTTTTTTTTAAATGATGACATCATACTCAGTAGTTAAATAAAAAAATCTTTTTGATGAATAACCCCAACTCACCTTAGAATTTTCATTTTTTGTGCCTATATATAACAAATACAGGTAGGTTGTCAGACTGCGTGGAAGGAGAATAATTATATAATATCAAGTGGTGCAAAAAAGGTTTCCCATTCTCCGTCCCTAACATCATCTTCTGTCATCACTTTCCCTCCCTATAAATTCAACCCTACCCTCTCTCTTATCTCTCGCATACCATTAAAACATGTCGACAGTTGTATGTCGGCAGCCTTCCCAACCTTCCATGGACTCCTCTCATGTCGTCGAAGCCACAACCATGAGACTCAAACTAGTCTCACCTAAATCTTACAACCAAAAAACCATCTTCGGACCTTCCAGTTTCCTCCAATCTCCTTCTTCCCACAAACCCATTGATGAATACTTCCACACAGAAACCAAGAACTCATATCTTCATGACCAAAAATCTCTGAAACTTAGCCAGAAAAGCCTCGAGCTTTGCACTGAAAGTTTGGGTAGCGAAACTGGCAGCGACACGAGCGAGGATGACGCCATTTTTGCCTTCCCATCGTCGACTTTATCAGTCAAAAGGAGTCGGAGAGATCAGGTGGAGTCCAAGAAGGTGCTTTCACGAAGCTTTCCACCTCCATTGACGACGATGAGTGGGTCTAAACCGTTTCAAGTTAGGCCTCATCGGGAAGGAGGGAGGCTGATTATCGAAGCAATGGAGATGTCGTTGGGGAATAGCTGTTTACGAGCTGAAAGAAGCCATGGGCGGCTTCTGTTGACGTGTTCGAAGAGCGAAGAAGACGATTGTGACACGGAAAGGGAAGAAAATGACATGAATGATGTGGAGAAGGATGACGAGGAAATGGAAAGAAATGTGGTGGTTGAGAACTTTCAAAGGTTAAGAAGGTGCAACGAAGATGAGCATAGAGACAAAGGAATATGCTGTAGCTGGGAGCCTTCTTGTTGGGTGGCTACCACATAGATATGTTAAAAACATGAAACGTATCATCAAAACTCTTTGTTCTTTTTTAAACGACAGCAGAACGCTTCCACTAACTCGTTCAAGGTTTTAATAAAGAGATAATCACAATGTTAAATACAAGAGATATATATACACACTTCAACTGATCTCCTCACTTATATATGGATCCTTTCCTTGGGCACTAGGATAAACATGTCGTTTGTTCCTTTTTTCAAAGAGAATGTAAATGTAAATTGAGTCATAGTGTTTTTCATAAAAGCCAAATTAATTAGAGTGACATTGATTATGCATTTGACGTTAATCATAGATTTTTGTAGACTTTCAGCCCGCTTTACATATCCCACGTTTAGTAATTATCAGTGGTGAACCAACATACAAGTTACAAAAGATGACTTTATCTAATATAATTTCCCGAGGCTTCAACAAAGGAATAAAGATTGATGCTCTCTGGGTCGTTTTCACTCTCTTCACAAATTGTCGGAGTCCTCCATGATTATCACTTGTAGGGTAACGAGGGTTCCTAATTTAGCAAACGTTATAATCGACCGGGACTCTACATGAGTTGAAATGAACTGAGTCAATGTCGTGCTTTGAATAGAAAAATATATATGCATGGTTTACATCATCTAATCAAAGATCAATGGCCTAACGATCGTAAAATTTCATTTTCAAAAACTTTTCAAAGGAAGTATGGGTTCAACTATTCATCATACTAGAATTTGGTATATATATTTTTAATAAAGATCAAGATATTATGTGTTAGGGTAATATTTAAATATCATATATCGCATTCTTAAGCTTTCAAAATATTAGATTTATCAAAAAAAAAACTAATTATAATATTTTTTGAAATTTGTAATCATGGACGAAAAAAATCTGAAATAACCATAATATCCATGTTTCTATACACAACCACATTTTATATCATAATCTATAGTTTGGTCTTGTACAAAGAGAAACAGTGACACGAGTAATTAAAAATTCTTAGAATTTTATATCACATACATTACAAATAAAATTAATAGAATTAATATCTAGAATTTCCAGTCACCTTTTTCTCATGAACTATATAAATAGAGAAACTAAATTTTTTTCTATTTTAGTTAGCCTAATCGAAAATCAAACAAAAAGATGTGTTGGATTTTGTTATAACTTCTTCCCAATTGAATATTTTATAAGATTCAAAAGTTATGCTACAAACAAGAACCCCCACTTGAATATTTTATAAGATTCAAAAGTTATCCTACAAACAAGAACCCGTGAAGAACATTCATATTATCAAGTCTTATAAAAATGTTTAATTATATTAATTACATTACAAGTATTTAAACCAATTAAACCAACATTACAAGGAGTTTTTGTGAGTATACTTTTTGATTTCGGATATAAACCCGCCCACATGCATTGATGAAAATCGAAAATCGAAAATCGCTGAAGATGGCAATGGTTGAGCTAGCTCAGTGGCGAAGGCGGGTAGAAACGACAATGGTGGAGTCGCTCTCCGCCAGGTCTCGTCGTTCGTGGTTCCATGCGGCGTTTGTGTTTGCGTCCAATTCATGTATTCTAAAAAATATAAGAAGGGATATTATGGTCATTAAATATTTTTTTTCTTCTAACTGTGATGAATTTAAATTAAAAAAATGATTATAAAAGTATTTTAAAAAAGATTTAGGTAAATTCAATTTTTTCAAAGCTTACGAAGATATATATGATATTTACTTATTAGGACGTACAATAATATTTCAATATTTAGGACATATACGGCAATATCAATCTAAAAAAAATTGACACACTTTGCTCCTTTATTTCTAATTATAATTAATTAACTATGTAATCGGGTGTATGGTTTTCTCGAATCATTTATTACATTATATTGTACGTACGGATATTGAGTAATCTTATCATTTTTTATTTGTTTTTTTTTCTAAATAACCGTTTATTATTATTTTGTTATTCATATTAGCACGACCATAATGTAATATGAGCATAGGGTTTTAGTTTATGAAATTTATAATATAATTAGAAAACAAGAAAACAAAAGAGTACCCATGAGTTAGGCGATTTTAAAGATTGTTTCCAATTTTTATTTCTGACATCTCTTAGGACTGCTAAAAAACTTTCAGATAATCCTTGTAATGTTACTGGTTTAAAAGATTTTTATACTAAACCAATATGCGGTAATTATGAATATATTTATATCTATCAATATCTTGTAAGGTTATTAATTGAATTGTCATATCATTTTCATTCATAGTTAAATTTTCTTCTGTAGTTTTAACAGTTTGAATAAAACCTAACTTTTCAAAGATTCCTCGTTCATATATAAATTTAGGGTTAATGGTAGGAATAGTCCATTTATTAAGAAGATCTAAATTTTTTGGTACTTCATATTCTTCTATTAACCGGTTCTTAACCATTTGTTTATTATTATTTTTTAGTCTACTGAATATATTTATAAACAATAATTAGTAGGACCATAATGTAATATGAGCATAGGGTTTTAGTTTATGAAAAATATAATATAATTAGAAAACAAGAAAACAAAAGAGTACCGATGAGTTAGGCGAGTCAATGAGTAAAACGCCCTAAAACAACTCTGTGGCCACAAAAACGGGCAAAAAACATGACTTTGCCTTTTTCTCCAGACTTTTTTTTTCTTCAAATGCTCATATTAGATCATGATTTGCTGATCATAATACTATTTCCATGATAATACTATGTGATATTAACAATTTAGCCTTTCATTAGGCCTAATAAAAATAAGTAGAAGGGAGTAGACTAACTAGAAATATGATTCAATGTTGATGTATAGCAGTAACCTTGATACTCTAAATATATTTCAAATTTTTTATTTCAGAAAGATGTTTACAGGGGGGAAGATGGCTCCAAGCCTACCTAAAACATAAGAAAGAGTCTCCTTATATAGACTAGGAGAACTCAAAAACGAACAAAACCTAAATTATTATTACATTTAGCATTGGCAGACAGCTTTTAAAAAGTAGAAATGACTCTTTGTTTGATTCCTCCATCTTTAATAATTTCTGACGAATATTGTTCTCTGTCTTCAATAATTTCTGAGGAATATTATCCTCTTTTATTTTGGTTCACACATTTGTCACCTTGAGTTTATTGTGATGATGATGTCCTCTTGTTTTTCGAAAGATTCTTTCTTTGAGTGATTCACTTCTCGATCATATCAATCATGCAATCAATGGGAAGTTCTCCATCTGGAATTTCTTCATCATCTGGCTGGGATTCCCCTGTTAAGCATTGTGATTGACTTTGGTTTGCAATTGACATGTTATCTGAAATTTCTTCAACTGAACCATCATCTTACATTATCATGTTCTGTAAGACGTTTAAGGTTTTCCTTTATCTCGGAAAAGTATAACCGAAATGACTTGATCATTTCTTCTTTAGTTAGATTAACTTTTTGAGGGGTTGAGGGGGTTATATCCGAGAAATTTTTCTGATCTTGGTATTTTTTGATTTGTTGTTTGATATGATCAATTGTTTCCTGGGCATTAAGAACTTTTGTTTTTGGATCCTTATGAAGCATTTTAGGCCAGAATTTGGTAAAATATAACCTTTGCAGAGAAGGAAATTTAGAGGGAGTATAATCCACATGTGGGGACCATTTCCAGATCCAAGGAATAGAAAATTCCATGAAAAAAAATTCATAGAAGATATCGCTTCTAGTCCTTCTGATTTCAAAGGAATAGATTGTTTCATGTATCTTGGAGAGACTGGTAGCCATTCACCATATAATTTTCTGAATGGTTCCTCTGGGAGAATATCTATACTTGGACCATATGAGATCCACCAATTAGTAAACTAATCTGGTATATCTTTATTTTGGTTATAAACCTTTTCACATACTTTAAAGAACCACGTATTTTTTCTTTGAGGATTCTCATATAAGAAGGCTTTATGAAAACTTTCAATATAATCCCAATATGTAAATTTCATCGGTATTTTTGAAGGAGGAATTATAAGTTCTTTCTCCTTGAGGGTACTTAAACCCCATTCCTCAGCTAATATAATCTTTTTGATAATAGCTTTGCTGAAATTATAAACGCTGGTATTACATCCGGATGTAAAATGAGAAAATTCAACTGATCCGGTTATTTTTAAAATATTCTCATAATATAATCTTTGTTTATAAGAATACCCAGCGTATGTTGTTGTATCCAAATATCTAGTCATTAGAAACCATGGATCTTCATTATTTTCTAAAATTATAATATTATCTTTATGAGGTGATTCTTTATATTCAAAATTATCATTGATGGTTTCACCAGCTATAATCATTTGAGCGAAACTACGAGTATTTTCCCTTTTTGTTTCCAGAAATGCTTTAAATTCCTCATATGATGGCTCCCTGGAATCGGAAGGGGTTGATTATTTGAAGATTCAGTTCTATAAGAACTGCTTGAAGTCGTAGGATTTCCTCGACCTCTACTATAGCCACTCCTGTATGAAGGATGGCCTCTTCCACGATTGGAATTCATCCTGCAAATTAGCACATGGTCTCAGAGATTCTCTTATGAAAATATTTGAACAAACTGCTATATCTTTGCATGTCAATTCTTGTTATTGGTCTATCTTCTTTTTTTACATCTTTTGATAAATGATTCTAAGAACTATATTTGTTTACAATGAAGATTATTTTTTACCTGTATTTTTGAGTCAGACATAATAATTTTTACCTGAGGATATCAATGTAACATCCATAAAATTTGAGCCAAATTAAAACATTTTAATTCATCCAAAAACCATTAAGTTCTTACA